CTAGCTGCCACAAATATCATGAAATAAATGTACAGTTAGTTATTCCTCTTTTAAATGTTATGAGAGAGAGCAGGAGTATTGTGGAGAAGCAAGGGTGGATTGGACAACACATTGAAAAAGTCTGAACAGAGCAAATATTGAAGAAAATGGAAAGCTCTTTATCCAAAGTATTTTCAGGAACTCCCTCCTGTGCCTTATCTATCAATCAATCAATCTATCTATCTATCTATCTATCTATCTATCTATCTATCTATTATCTATCTATCCTATCTATCTTTCACCTTCATTACACAGTGTTTAGCCTATGAGCATTGTAATGTTTATTCTGAACAATAATGATTCTACTTATAAGTCTCAGAAATGTGTCAACTACAAATTATGTTCTTATGATACCATTTAGGAAACATGCAAGAAACACAAACCGTATACTGTGATAAACAACATGCATTCCAGACTCTCACTTGGAGATGGAGAAGCTGGCATTCTTTCGTAGCTTGTCAAAGTCATTATTTGCAATGTCTTTTTCTCTCAGTTCTGAGCAGGCATAATCTCTGCTCATTTTCTAGTACCCAAACACCTACTGAGGATGTATTCTGCCAAGCAACCTAATCCAAAAACATGAACAGACCTCTTTTTTTTTTTTCATTCTTCCACTTGAAGAAATTGTGGTACATTTTAAATAATTATGTCCTCCATTTTCCCTCACATAAACATGGCTTTCACATGCCTGGGTGCTCATAAATTATTAGTTGAGCACAAAGGATAATTTCTTCCCAATACTTGTTTTTTATTCATTTATGCTATATATTAACATTAATCTAAAAGAAGCCACTTGAATTGTTTTTTAAAAACAAAAACTTCCTTTCTCAGAGTATATGTCAGTAGTATAATCAGGAGACCTATAGAATTAAATTTGAAAGTTATACTGGATTACTCTGTAATGATGCCTCTCTGTCCACAAAGACGGAAATAATATATTGCTTACCTGTTAGAGGACTCTCTGAATTAATGTCAGGTGTGCTCATCCTGTTTTTATAGAAAACTAGAAAATTAAGGTCCTCTCTATATTCCAGGGAGGTTATTTTAAGACATAATGATGCAAGGCATTAGTATCTAAGAGAGTATTATCCCTAAGGCTTCTCCTACTTTGCTGCTCATCAGCATGTTAATTGTAATGCACTTAAGTTTTGGTTTCCTACTTTGACTATAAGAATAGAAAGCTGATCCTTCTCACAATAATTAATGAAATACAAACAAGGGTTTTGACAGGTTAAGTACTCCAGGTTGAACAACAGTCCAGGATAAAAGAGAAAAACCACCCATAGATAAGGAAGCAGAGAATAGAGAAGGGGAATAAAAGAAAACCAAAATGATACTAGTGAAAATAGAAGTGGATAATCAGGACACAACTCTACTCCTACCCAATGCCCTATGTTGCCTCATCTTGCTGTAGAAGACAAGTTCTCTAGGTCTTGTAATTAATTTGCAAGTACAATCTAGGGAAATCAGTGCAGCATTCTGAAATCACAGGTTCCATGCTGTGGGCTTCAGACGCCCCCCACTAAAAAACAGATTTATAGAATATATTCTGAAGATTAATAATTACATTAAACATGAATTGCAAAATAATTTTCAAATTAATTTCCACTTGGTTTGCTAACACATGTGAGTAAAACGACACTTCTTAACAAAGACATTTGTGTTGAAATAATTTTATTTTCCAAATATTTCTGTATTTGTCACTTTGCATTAGTTGTAGTTTCAAGTCACATACAAATTCCATGAGGTATAAATCAACAATAGTTCATGAGAGAAAAGTGAAGCTCATAGAAGTTAAATAGCTTGCTCAGCTTACATGTTTAGTAAATTCATTAACAAGATCTGCACTAATGATAGTCTTATTTTATGGTTTTTAATATTTCCATATATTTTTCTACACCAGTTAAAGAAACCTAGAAAGCTATAAAAACAAATTTCTTTTGGCTGAGTTATGTGACCTCAGGTTGTGGAGCTTAAAATCCATAGTGAGTTAATGAGGTTATGTTGAAATTCAGGTATCCATGGGGTATGCAAATGGAAAAGTTTCAGTTGACAGATGAAGACAGAAGAAGGTTTTTTTTTTTTTAAAGTCTGAATTTCTAGACAAGGTTGTAGAGCTTGTTTTGGTAATAATTAATTTAAAATATTAATTTAAATTATGATATTGAGTGAGTTCACCTGAGAAACAATTTGAGATATTAGAAAAGCCAATCATCTTTAAAATGTAGGATGACACCAATCTCTAGCCAAAGGGGGATATTGAAGTGACTACCCACCCTTCAACAGGACTAATCGAAAGAGAAATTATAAATTCTAATTGTCCCTATAATTTAGGAAATTAATTTATTTAAAACCATCTTTGACAGGAGACATGGTTGAAAAATCCTCTGTTGGGATATAGGAGTGTATATTCTTGTGCATGTGTTGGTGTGTGTGTGTGTATGTGCACATGTGTTGGTGTTATGCAAAGAAAAGATTGAACAAATCTATGATGGACTCATATTCCCACGGTCGCTAATTATAAGACCCTCATTGTACCTGATTTGTCAATTGTGGGACACCAATGTGAGCACTGGGTTTTATTAGGTTTCAGGAAAGAAATAACAAAAAAAAAGGGATATAAAAACAGAATATGAAGAAGCTACATAGGGAAAAATGGAAGATGCTTTTATATACCAAAAGCATTAGTAGTCAAATTAAAACTGAAGAAATAAGCCAGGCATAGTGTCATTTGATTACAGGCCATGGTCATCTGAAGATAAAATGAAATAATTACATGGATCAGGAGTTCCAGTCCAGCTTGGGCAACACAGAAAGACCCTGTCTTAAAAAAAATAAACAAACAGAATACTACAGTGACACAGCCACATTAATGTTTATAGCAGCTCAACACACAATAGCTGAACTAGGGAACCAACCTAGATGTCCTTCAACAGATGAATGGATAAAGCAAACACGGTATATACACAATGGAATACTACTCTTCAATAAAGAAGAATGAAATGATGGCATTTGCTGACCAATGGATGGAGCTGGAGAATATCATGCTAAGCAAAATAAGCTAATCTCCCCAAACTAAAAGCTAAATGTTTTCACTGATATGTTGATGTTAATGCATAAGAAGGAGGCAGGGTCTAGGGAAGAATTGTTACTTTGGATTAGGCAGAGGGGAGTAGGGGGGTATAGGGGTAAGGAGGATAGTAGAATGAATTGGACATTATTACCTTATGTGCATATATAATTAAATGACTAGTGTGATTCTACATCATGTACAACCAGAATGAGAAGTTATACTCCATTTATGTATAATATGTCAAAGTGCATTCTGCTATCATGTATAACTAATTAAAACAAATAAAAAATGAAAAAAATACACAAACAAACCAAAACTGTGGAAGTGAAGGAAAATAATTTTTTAAAGTTCTGTTACACCATATCCATCTAAATCACAATTTCAGAGTGACTACCCACTCTCAAACATGATTGATCTAAAAGGAAACTATGAATTTTAATTATCTCTGCATTTTAGGAAGTGAGTGGGATAAATAATCATCTCTGACAGAAGACATGGTCTGAAATGGCCATATTTTCTCATTTAATAATGCTGAGGCTGGGGTCTTTATAATACATTGAAGCTAAGGAGTATTGACCCTTAATGGTACAGTTCAGGGCTTGCAAAACTAACATGGAGCTGTTAATATGCTCCTCACACTTGGGCATGACAATTCCATTAACAATTATAACTTGTGAATAATCTATACAACCCTTTGTAGACAGCACAAATAAACTGGTGGTGCATACGTATAATCCCAGCAGCTTGAGAGTACCAGGCAGGAGGGCTGCTAGTTCACAAACAGCCTCAGCAAATTAGAAAGGCCCTAAGCAACTTAGAAAGACCCTGTCAAAAGAAAAACTAAAGAGGGCTGGGGATATGACTCAGAAGTAAAGCAACCCTGAGTTCAATCAGAGCAGTGGTGTGCTCGCCCCAATCTCATTGAAGAGAGACAAGCAGTATGAGGATTTTCTGAATGCATATAGTCTTTTCACTTGTTTCTTTGACATTATCAACTTTGCAGATCATATCATTTTTATCTTCAAACTGGATTCTATATCTTTGTCTTAAGTCTCTAAAAATACATTGTATCTTCAGTGCAGTTTAAAAAAGAACTTTTAGTTGGCAACATCTATTATTTTATTTTCCTATTTCTTGAGTCACACAGTTTTGTTATTATACTTTCAATGCCCTAATGAGTTAAGTAGCTGAATATCTCAAAGATTTTCACTAGCACATTTAAGAATCTCGCAAAAAGAGTTTTATCTTACTAGTGAAAGGAAATAATAAATTAAAATAAACTAAAATGTAAAAGGAAAGCCTCTGATTAAAAAGAATATAAGTTTTAAAATAGAAACTAGCCATGAAATAAAATGGGAAGTCCTGATACACTGAATCCATTCCTTTGCCTTAAAATGTTCATGAGGAAGACCAATATTTTGTTGTAAATCTATTATAAAAGAAATTAAATACAAATAACTGTACGTTGTTGGTAGATGTTCGAAAGTTTGAACAGGTGGGATTTTTATAAATGTCTTCCTTCTTACCAAACCTGTCTGCAGACAGTGTTGTGAGATGTAGCTCACAGGCAGCCAGAATTGAGCTCTCAGAAAAATTGTGAGCCAGAATTAGTATTTTGGGTAAACTCCTGTCTATTGGTCAGGAGAACAATTCATCAGCAGGAAATCAAATGTAATGATATTAGAGTTCAAAGGGGTAGTCAGGAAAGTGGAAAACAAAAGACTCTTAAAAAGTCTATTGGAGCATGATATTTTGAATACTCTAGCACTGACACACACAAAAATGACTTAATATGGTCAACTAACTAAAAAAACTAAGAACCCCACAACATATGCAATGATAGTAAGATACATCCACAATATTCAGCCATGATTGAAATCAATGTCTGCACTTATTCATCAAATCATAACTGAATAAGTATAAGACATGGCCCTCAGTTCACGCCTTGTTTTCTGATGCAGTTTTAACATGCCAAAGCTTTCTCATGGCATTTTTCACCTCTGCATTCCTCAGCGTGTAGATCAGTGGGTTGAGGAAGGGTGTTCCAATGGTATAAAACACTGCCACCATCTTGTCCATGGGGAACGTGGTTGGGGGGCGTGTATATATGAATATACAGGGACCAAAGAATAAGACAACAACAATGATGTGAGACGTGCAAGTGGACAGTGCTTTTTTCCTCCCTTCTGCACTGTGGTTTCTCAGAGAATGCAAGATGACAACATATGAGATCATCAAAATAACAAAGCTGCTGGAACAAATTGCCCCACTGTTAGTAACCAACAGCAGATTGATCATATATGTGTCCATACAGGCAAGTTTTAGCAAGGGCTGCAGATCACAGCAGTAATGGTCAATCAAGTTAGGTCCACAGAAGGGCAATCTCAAGGCCAGGATAATCTGAGCTATGGAATGTATAAAGGACCCTATCCAGGCCAGGACAATCAAGATGTGACAGACCTGCCTCCTCATGATCCTTGGGTAATGCAAAGGCTTACAGATGGCCACATAGCGATCAGCAGCCATGAGGATGAGGACAAAGATCTCCATGCAGCCAAATAAATGCAGTGCAAAGACCTGTGTCATGCACTCATTGTAGGATATGACTTTCTTTGCAGAGAGAGCATCCACAATTAATCTAGGGGCTGTGGAAGTGGAAAAGCAGGAATCAGCAAAGGACAGATAAAACAGGAAGAAGTACATGGGGCTTCCAAGCGTCCGGCTGCACTTGATGGTCACAATAATGAGCATATTCCCCACTACAGTCCCCATATAGAAAATTAAGAAGATTAAAAACACCATTTTCTGCCTCAGAGGATCCTGTGTCAATCCTAGCAGTACAAACTCAGTCACATTGATCTTTTGCTGCATCATCTCAGTTGATATGGGGGTATCACAATTTGTAAACCCCCTCTCTGCAAAGAAGAAAAGAAGAAAATGTAAAATGAATACTAAACATATGCTTTAAATATTAATTATCAAACATGAAGTTGAAAATTTCAAAGAGATTAGCATTTATATTTTTATATATTTTTTTCTGAATAAAATCGAATTTCTAGAATTTATTTAATGCATTTACTATTTATTTAATGCATTTACCAATTATATTTGAAAATAAGGAAATAGCAAACTAATAAATAGCAAGAGCTTCCTCAAGCAAATGTGTGTGTGTGTGTGTGTAACACATTTAGTATATAAAACCATAATTTTTCAAATACAAATGGATCACAGATCTGTCTTAAAAATTTAACAGAGGGCAAAGAATATATTACCAAACAGAATCTCATCTTTATTAAAAAGATTAAGCATATTAACAAATGCTCCATTTCGTTCAGAGTTCATGCATTCAAATTAAAATTCCAGTTGGATATCCTTTGCACCTAAATCAAATAAATAAAGCAATACTTTGATAACTGTCTTTTTAACAAAAGATATGTAGAAATGTGTGAGAAATAGTCAGTTACACCTATCTTTGGTGGGTTCAAGTGCTTGCAAGCTCCTAGTGATCTCAAAGCTTGTAGTCTCACAACTGTACAAAGACATTGATCCAGAGATTCCTTTCCCTTAGACACAGCCAGTCAGGC